TATTAAGTGTTGCTTTTGATAAAACAAGCTCTTTTTCATCATTTAAAAAAACAAACATTTATATCCATTTTATTGCATATGAATGCTTGAACCCTTCTCTGTGGACACACTGTTTTAGATGTAGTGAGAGGACATTAAGAAACATAGATTTGGTATAATAATGAGAAAATTAAATTGAAGGTGATAATGGTGTTAAATACATTCTATTATTAATCCCTCATGACATTTAAAATTGAAAATATTTTTATTTTTAAACCTAAATATAGCAGTTACCCTTGCTGGACCTGTTTTGTCCCATGTCTCAAGAATGACTGATTTGCGTGTAGAAGTGTAGAGAGTCTCCTATATACATTACAGAACTCGGCTGACAGAATGAGACTGAGACATTTTGGTCTTCTCTGTTTTCATATTAATAGGCCTATCTATAAGGATCTGGATCATCAAACGTCTATTTGACTGAAATAACAAATACAATATATGAACAGTTTAAAAATGTGAAATTCATATTGGCTGACTGATAAATCTGTATACCTCTGTAACCGTTTTTTTTTTTTTTTTAGTTGAAGTGACTTGGCAGGTGACTGACATTTTATTAAAGGGGTCATATGATGCTTTTTCAAAGATCATTAGCTAGTATTCAGTACTGTGACTTTCTCATTTGACAATAATTAGGGATGCACCAATAATGAAAAGTTGATTGATATATGGGTCCAAAAAAAAAGATTATTTGTCACTTTTCCCAATTTCAAGTGTTTAAGTGGCATCACAACATTATAATGTTCCGTATTAAATATGGATAAATATTAGAATTTAATGTAATCTAAAATCAAAAAGTAGTTGGAACATTGTTAGTTTTAGTTAATCACTGCAGATCTCAAGGAACAAACTTGCTTGGAAACAGTAAGAGGACATTTGAGTTGGCTGGTTTCCCTGCAAAGATATTTTAAAGGGCCTGTCAGTGAATGACAGTCTTAAAGGGGTCATATGATGTTGCTAAAAATAACATTATTTTGGATATTTGGTGTAATGAAATGCAGTTTAAAGTTAAAAAAACACACGTTGTTTTCCACATACATTATTGTTTCTCCTCTATGCCCCGCCTTTTTGAAATGCGTTGATTTTTACAAAGCTCATCGGTCTGAAATAGCGAGGTGTGCTGTGATTGGCCAGCTATCCAGTGCGTTGTGATTGGCCGAATACCTTAAGCGTGAGACGGAAATGTTACGCCCCTACCATACTGTGATGCTGTGTCCCGGCCGGAGCGACGAGACAAAAACATTAAAACCCATTACAAACGAGGCATTTGTTGCATCCAGTGGGGACATAATTACTGATTATAATGACTTATACTGTCTTTTTACACATTGCGTTGCATTGCATCGCGCCGCGTAAACATAAAACCCTGTCTTCATTTGTGATCAGAGAAATGACAAACAATAAGTGCTACTCTAATGCCCAAAACTCGCGTTTGAATCATCAGTGGCAAATCCTTTAAATGAAAACGTACTTACGTGAGTCAGAACTGCCGGCATTTTAGTCTAACGTTACTCTCCCAGGATCAGTAAACAGTCTTCCATAAAATGTGCTGCACACATCTGGATATTTGGGTTAAACTGTTCTGGAACAGTGTTGTAAATACAACTTAACCACTGATCTCTAGTCGTGTCCTCTATTGGAAGACCAAACAAAGTAATTTCGCTTTCACAACGAAAAACACAGTGGCCTAGCGGAAGCCCCAGCTTAGCGTGAGTTGAGGCCGGGCTAGAGTGAGCAGAGGCGGCGGGGTTGAGAACGCCGCAGCCGGCGGATCCAACGAAGGAGTGGCAAGCACATGTGACGACCCCGGGCTTCATCCACGGTGAAAGCCGATCCGGCGATCCACAGCACCAAGTTGATGTATTCCCTCAGCGACCGGCACAGATCAGCTCCAGGCATGACGATGCGGATATCGTCCTCTTTTGGAAGACCAAACAAAGAAGTTTCGCTTTCACAACGAAGCACACAGTGTCTTCAGGACATGGCGGAAAGCGGCAACAATACTACAGCGAGAATAAAAATTACGCCTTCTTTCTTTGCGTGAACATTTGGGCGGCTTTATGCAAACCTTCCCACATAGTGAGGTAGATATGTGGGGGCGTGTTAGAACGAGCCGTTTTAGGTAGGTGTGGCTGACTCTTAACTTTTATAAAGAATATCTCTTTGGATTTGAGACATTAGTCTTTGCAACTTTACAGATCTTCTTTATGCACCAAGAGCTTGTAACACTCCAAAGAGAAAGGAAAAATTTAAATTGCATCATATGACCCCTTTTAAAGTTTCCTTGCTTTGCATATTGGCTCCTACGAGGGTGAAAGGGTTAAGTATGGTCACAATATCGTAGATGCTTTTCACATTGAGCTTGATTTTTGCCTTTTGTTTTTGCCAAGAAGTTGTCTTTATTTACATTCACACGTCTTCTGTGAGTTAAGCATCTCGGACAGGTGCTAGATTCATCACTCGCTTGTCACAGTCTATCAGAGGGTCTGATGCAGAATGCAGATCTGGGGTAATCCAGAGTCTGAGGTATAATAGTCAGGCCAGTTCTCATGGCAGCTTTCCAGGCCAGAGAGACGCCACGTTTTTGATACAGTCGGTTAAGTTACAGCCCCAGTTGGTTTTGCCTCCGCTGCAAAAGGAAACACTGTCAGAGATTTTACAGTGATGAAATACATAGGAAATAGCTTGGTCTTCTGTGATATATAAAGTTGCTGATATTCAATTGAATTTGGGTAACTTTTAATCCTTGATCAAAAATGATAAATGTTGTAGGAGATATCCTGTATCTTTAGTGATGCTGCATAGTTCAGTGATTTGTGGTGAAGTTTTGAACTTAGAAAATGTAAAAATCTAGCTGGAGATGTAATTGACTTTGAATCAGATGCTAATCAGAAATGGCATAAACACACAAAAATACACAGTTGCATCCAAAACATTGCACTCTGGTGGCAATTTTGTGTTAAAATCACGCAAAAATGGTGGCGCAGACTCATCAAAACTGTCCATTTAGATCCAGGATACTTAAGTTTTTAAGCATGCTGATGAACATAGAAGTTCCTTCTTTCCCTGAAACCGAAACCAGATGTTCAGTGAGCTGGTCAAAAGAAAATCGTGGCAAGAGGCACTCTGTCTACATGCTTTATTATATGTCATTGATCTTAGTAGTTGATCTAACAACAGGGAACATTCTCAGAACTTTGGCTAACGTTCTGGTGAGGTTCTCTCGAACGTTCTTTCAGTAACATTAATAGAATGTTTAAAGTCTTTAATAATGTTCTCAAAATGTTAGCACTGAAATGGTATGCATACATCGTTCATGGAATTTTTGTGCACTGTTTTAGTTGGACGCTCATCTTACTACTTTTGAATGTTCAGAGAAATGTTCCCATGATGTCTGCAAAATGCTAAATGGAATGTTCCTTTAATGTTTTTAAAATTGGATGGCATTCAGAAGTAACGTTTTCATAACTTAACTGGCAAAATGTTCTGAATATATTTTGTTAGCTGGCAGAGTACAAGTTGGAATTAGGGCAAGCGGTTTAATTTGGTTTTTAAAGCAAAACATTTTGTCAAAGGAAATAAAAAGTAGGTGACAATATCTCTTTTGTTGAATGACCAAATACCAACTAACATAATCTGGAGAGATTTTAATCTTTTCAAATAAACATATTGCCACTTAAACCCCTTGTTTAGTAGGGTTAAACGTGTTTACTGAACTGAAAAGGCCTGCAAAGCTCTGTTAGGGACATTATGCAAGATACAAGCTCCAGTACTGTTGATCAGCTGTTATATTTACAATCAAGGATACCAATCAGATTCTGCTTGAATATGGCTAAAGATTATGCTTTTTGTTCTTAATAATTTGTCGTAATTGAGCATTATCCCTTTATGTTAGTGCAAACTAAAAGGAAAAAAACTAAGTTTGAAACGCTCACCCACAATTAAACATTCAACACTGGTGCATCCATATCAACAATATGTAGCAAATAGAATTTACATTTTTGTGTACCAATTAAATTCTGCTTCAATATGGTTTTAAATTATGCATTTTTATTAGGGGTGCTACGATCACGATTTTTGAGGCCAATTACCGATCGTCGATCACAGAAAGCAGTATCTGCCGATACCGATACCGATCTTTCAGCAAAATACCTCACCTTCAGCATTATAATGATTTCACCAGCGCCGGACAGAGACTGAGTCGCTGCATGTCGTGCCAAACCTCTCACGGCTGCGTCATCAGCTTGAGATCGTTTTTTTTTAGATCGTCCTTTTTAGAGACCGCCGATCAAACATCCCAACGGCCGATAGTGATCGGTAGCCGATCAATCGGAGCACCCCTCATTTTTATGCACCATTTCAAACCTAAAGAAAGCTTGAGTATGTAGAGTTATCTTGTGCTGCTTACAGATCACAGAATAACACATTACTCATTATTATGATGCAGTTCATCTTGTGCTCAGAATCAGATTACTTGGAGATATTTACGGACTTTAGTGATCAATCCTGTACCGTAAAGGACGTTTTGATGGTCTAAGCTTAGGTCTTTAGAAATCTTTATAATAGCATGTATGCTGTATTCTCAACTTTGACTGTGTATGAAATGTTAGCTGAGGTATTTCTAGAGGTATACACACATAACCCGATATGCATTTGCTGAGCACATGATCAATGCTAATTCAGTATTGATGGAAATCTAAAAATTCCCTCCTGCCTAACGTGAGGTCATTCTCAAGCCTGTGTAATGGGATCTCAGGGATAATTTCTCTTGTTACATGACCAATTTTGTGACAATTCGTTTTCTGTACTGCCTGTGTGTAGAGTCTCTTTTGTTATTTTATCGTGGTTTCTCTCTTTTAGAAAAGTTGTTGTATATGACATTTAACAACCTCTAATATCTGTCAAGAACTTTAATATTGATCTACTCAACCAAAATAATCACCATGGTGCTTGACCTTGAGGGAGGTCCCTTTATCTGGAGGGATTGTCTGTGTCAGTTCATCACATGAAAGTTGTAATGTAGACATAAATAGCAGTTGCACTGGTTATGTGGTGATAAAATGTCTGTGTGCTATAAAAAAAGAATCAAGGTTTTACCTTTTTTTTTTATTTTTTTATTTTTTTTTTAATACACTGCTGGCTCAGTAAAAAACAAAAACAAGCCAGATGTACACCAGATTAATAGACTATTATTATTATTATTCAAGATATTTTGAATATAATAAAAAGCTTATTATTAACTTGTTTATCAATAATAGTATATTTAAGATATATTGACTATAATAAAACAGGCATTTTATTTTTGATTAACTTGTTGGAAGACAAACTGCATAAAATATTAGGGCTAGTTTTATATCTTGAATATGTGAAGACAGCATTATTATTATTATTATTATTATTTAAGATAAGTTTGATCTCAAGTAGTTTTTTTTAAGCTGTGTTTTTTTGTTTTTTTTGGTTCAATACATAAATCTCCAAAAATAATGTTAGATTTCGCAAAAAAGAAAAAAAATTGAATTCATTTCAGGATACGTTCTCTGAAAACAAGTCTAATTTTCTCATGCAATGTTGCTTCACAACTAAGTTTTTCTTATTTTTAAGATGATTAAATATTCTTACTGGGAAGATTAAGGCTTTTTTAAGCGTAAAAGACTTAGGAACATTTTCTTTGTTCAAAATAATGCGCATAACACATATCTACACATAAATATTACAACAATATACACTCTAAAAAATGCTGGGTTGTTTCAACCCAACTTTGGGTCAAATATGGACTAACCCAACCGTTGGGTTAAATTTTTACATTACATTTTTAACCCAAAAGTTGGGTTAGTCCATATTTGACCCAAAGTTAGGTTGAAACAACCCAGCATTTTTTAGTGTATATTGTTGTAATAATAAATGAAAATGCTGAAACTATCACAGATGATGCCATAATAACGTTCTGACTGTACAATGTCCCCATAGTATGATTTGTGATAGCTGGTCAAAGGGAGACTATGCTCATTAGTTATGAAGCTCCACCTGTTTTTGCTGACAAGAGTGTGTGTAAAGCACCAACAGCCTTTACTGCTGTTGCCATAACAAACAATGTGGAATGCAGGAAGTGTTTTTTTTTCTTCTGACGTGTGCCAAAACTGACAGTTTGTTGACATAGTTCTAAAATAAATTATGATTAATTTTGAAAAAGTGAAGTGCAGTGGATGATATTAATGATGATGAAATCCAATGAATTTTACATGTGAAGTGAAGGCTTTACACAAAGCTATGTTCTTGCATGCTTGTGTTGTTCGTTTGGTATCTTTTTATAGTGATACCGGCCTAACCTGCTTTCACAATCACCCTGAGGAAGAGCATCAGTCACATGAAGCACTGCACATTTAGTCTGCTCATATAACCAATCACTGTTTTCCCTTTTTTTTGTCCACAGAGCAGAGAAGACCGAAGTACTGAGTGACGACCTTCTTATGGTGAATATTTTGTCCTTCCATGACTTGATCATGACTTTATCACAACTATGAATGACTGCACAAATCACCCAAAATTCCACCCAAGTCACCAGTGTTATTTTAGTATTATGTGTATACTGTTAAAGTTTTTATTAACATTTGAATTAGCTTTTTAAATTAACTTTATTCTTTGTCACTATTGTAATTTTTAAAAATATTTTTATACATTTTATAAATTTATTTTTAATTTGTTTTAGTATTTTTAGTATTTAGTATTTTTATAAATTACTTTTAATTTATTTCCAGCTAGTAATTTTAGTGCTTTAACTTATTGCAAACTTATTGCAGTTAGTTGCCTTGTCAGCATTTCTAAATTTCATATTGCTTAGAAATGTCATCTAATACTGTATTTATATTTTATTTCAGCTTCATTTAAATAAAAAAAAATATTTGTAATAGTTTTAGTTTTAGTTAACAATAATATAATAACCATAGAAGTCACTGAATTATTATTTTTGCTAATTATTAATTTAAGAAATTAATAATAAGAGTATTATGTTTTATTTCATGGCTCTCTTGAATACTTGATTTAGATTTTTCACTGCATTCTGCTTTCAAATATTTTTGCATTATGATTTTAAACTATATAATTAACCATTGTCCCTACCAAATGATTTCCTAAGACACACAGCCTTTTTTCCCTTTCATATCATCTCAAAACAACATTTATGCATCAATATTTTAATATTTATGTCTGTTTGTTTATTTATTTATTTGTTAAGTAGTTGAGCAATAAGCAGGATAATGTACAGTAAACTGGTCAAAAATACTATGTTTTGCAGACTAGCTGATTGTAGATGATCCTTTACATATCTTCTGTATGTATTCATATTAATCACAATATTGAACATGTATACATTAATAAGGCATAGCAAAGCAGAAATTGTGCTCTAGTATGACTTTAGCTTTTATTTAGAGCTAAAGTCTCTTTTGCTTTCTCTTACACTGAGTATCTCAGTTGACCTTTGGTCCTTTACATTCAGCTTCTTCTTTCTCACAATCTCTCCTCTTTCACACTCCTCCCTGTTCCTATTTCGGACTACTTGCAGATAACAGGAAAGCAACTGACTGTCTGAATCTAACTGATTTTAATATTTCTAACGCCACACGGCCCATGTTTGCATGAGTATGAGTGCAACTATGGCTGTTATGAACAAAGGAAAAGCCTAAAATACTGTAGCTCAAAAGCAGCTTTATTGTGGCGTACGTAGATGCTGGTGATTATGCATATAAATCTAAAAATATGCAATTTACGGCATGACACCCAAAATCTTCCAAAGCAAATACTCACTCTAAAAACTAAACAAATCAGCCTAATCTGTCACTACCTCATTGTTTAAAAAGCACCACATGTTGAAACATGCCTGTGCAAAACACTGTACAGCTGAAGGGAAATCATTGAAGCTCGACGGACTCTCGCCAGAGCTTTATATGCTGCTCCTTCACCTTCATTCATGCATTCCTTGTCCAAGGGTCAAAGTTTAACTGCCTGATTGCTCTGCAACTTACGCCACCTCAGCTTTGCAGGAGGGAAAAGAAACATGATAATGGGCCATACACTCCCTCTTGAAATTAGTCAGAGGGAGATGTTTTCTGGCTTTTGAAGGTCTGCCAGGTTAAAATGCAGCGGTGTTGGCAGATGGCCCCTGTTAGAGCTGTACTGCCGCTGGTTTCTCTGGTCGTGGTTGGAGTTTTTGTGAACCAGCATTGGGGAGTAACACAGCTAGCTGAACTACATTTTTCAGTAGCTGGTTTCAAAACAGGAAAGCTTTTTTCTACTAATGAGCTGCTTTTTCCAACTAACAAATAGTCACTAAATGCTGTTTTTTTTTTGTCAAATTGTGTTGCATAGAAATGAAGCAATAATCATGCACTCTCCTAAAATATATTTTCTTATGTTTATAGTATTGGAAAGTCCCATTAATTTTAGTTTGGATGATTCATGTAAATAAACTGGGGGAAAAAAGAAGATTCACAGATTAATTTAATTACAGATCAGGGTTTTTATAAGCCTGAAAAAACAACAATATTTCGTTACTTGAAATAAATGTTAACTGAAATAAGTGAAATGTTAAAACTAATAAATAACAATTAATACAAACTATATAGACATATTTTAAAAAAAAACTAATTAAAATGACATAAACACAACAAAATGACATGTTTTTTTAAAACGTATTATGAAAACTTAAATACAAGGATATATATATATATATATATATATATATATGCATACACTGTAAAAAATGACTGTGAATTTAACGGTAAAAGACTGTAGAAATGCTACAGTAAAAACCTGTTAAATGGTTAACGGTAAATTCCCCAACTATGTACGGTGAAAAACTGTACTGGACATTACATGTATTGGACATTAATTTTACGCTAGTATACCGTTTTTGGAAGTGAAAAAGACCGTATGATTTACAGTAAATAACCGTAAATTGACATTCCCAGAATTCCCTGCGCTACATTTCAAATTTGATGTTTTTTTGTTGAAATAACTGTTTCTTCTTAGTTTTTCTTATCAGTTTTGTATATTAGGGTTGTGTGTTTCACCTAATGTTGTTAAATGAATGTTTATTGCATTATTTCAGTTTCATGTGTGTTACCGTGATGGTGTTTAGTGTTTGTGTAAATGACACTGTGCACCTTCGATATGTTATTATTTAAAAGCTGCTTGTGGTGGGCTTTGGTTCATCATGTGACTTTCTCATCACCACCTGCATTTGGTGGTTATCAGTGTTATTACAAAGGTACAAAACAGATTTCAGTACTTCAATAGGTTGGTATATTAACATTATATCAGTTAATGAAATTACGGTATTTAAGTGTAAATTTAAGTTAAAACCTAAAACGTTGCTACCGTATTTTTTATGGTACAATTCCGGCAATCACAGCTGCCGTTTTTTTACCGTAAATTTTACGGATTTTTTTTTACAGTGTATATATAAGTTATCTAATTTGTCTAATAAACACTATTAAACTATTATGGTAATCAATGATACTAAAATAACACTGTTACAGATCCCTGGTCTTGTTTCAGAGAAAATACTGCTGTTGCAATTTATTTAACTGGGCGTGTAGTCTAGTTTTGTTGATTGTATTTATTGTATAAATATATCTGATCAAAGTTTCCAACCATGAGATCATCTATATCTGAGGAAATATATCATCTCTGTTATGTCGAATGTAACTGTCATATCATATATAACTATGTGATATATTGTCCCCTCAAATAGCGTCTAGTGTGGTCGTTTGTAGGTTGCTGTTGCTGGCTACGCTTTTATAAGAATAACTTGAATGGGGTTTATATTATGAGCAGTTTGACAAACTACAGTTTTAAAGTCGATAAGTTCTTCACAGTCAGTATTGTGTAAATGGCTCCAGTGGGAGTTTCGACCCCTGCAGGGTGAGTGCTGCGACAGGCCGGTATGGCCCCGTCATCATTTCCTGTTTGTCTCGAATTGTTGCTTTGCTTGGAAGCAGAACATCTGTAATGCAGTTCTTTTCTTCGTCATTTTTCCCTTTTCCTCATTCCATTAACAAACCTGGTTCTGAAACCTGATCGCTGGTTTATGGAAAATGAGTGTGAAGATTTGTGTGTGCATGTGAGTATATGTGTGTGTGTTTCTGATATATATATATATATATATATATATATATATATATATA